AAAAAGAAAAAGCAATTTTTAAGAAACATGAATATAAATTTTTCATTTAGATTGTTTTCTCTATGCGTCTAAATTAAAAAATCGTGCACCGAAATGGATGTGTTGGTAACAAATGAAACTGTTCTAGAAAGTTTACTGATGTTGTTTTCTGTATTTTTTTAAAAATAAACAAAAACAACATCATTTTTTTTGTCTGTTTATGAAATTATATAGTGTAAAAAATAAAAATAAAAATTTCAATGTTACATAATTCATTTAATTCAAACAAGAACTAATAACATTTATATCAATATATTACTGAAATATTTATTTCGATTTTAAATTTTTATTGACATTTTTTCTAAGAAGAAAGTTTGTTAAATGAATTTTTTTTTTCGTAATTTAAAACCTTTTGTGTTTTATTTAAAATAAAAATGATTAGGTATTTAAAACATCCTACTGGATATTTATCATTAATCATCTGTTCCCAAACTCTTAATGGTTTCCATCAGTATTTAACAAAACAAAATGTTTACTTTGAGAATTTTTTTTCATTTTAAATAAAAGTATATAAATTATTTATGACTTTATTCTATTTATAGACAATGAAAACTAAGCTTGTAAAAAAAAAAGAATTTTTACATCAGTTAAAAAGTGTTTGTTCGTACACAAACATGGAATTAGAACAATAACTGAATATCTGCTTATTACTTTCTATTAAAAAAAAATCAACTGAGACATTTGTCTTTCTCGTAAGTGTTAGAAAAAATTGTTGTTAGTAAATCGTCATCATTTTGTATGTAGGCGTCTTGTATATTACCACACTTTCATTATTAGTTATTATCCTATTATTTATTAATTTTAATAGTCTTCGCTTTAATTATTTTAGCATAGTAATAACATGCGTCTGATGAATATTATTTCAGCAAAATTGCTGGTAAACAGAAAAATCATTTAAAATTGGTCAAATATCATTTAACAATAATTTGTGCAAATCATGAATTTAAAAAACAAACAGCACATAACAATTACATAATGTATGCGAAGGTAATACAGTAAAATAATCAAACACTACCATTTATAACGGTTCATTAATCTCTCATTAGTTTAAAAACTCCTCACGCCTTTTCTCATCTACTCAAGTAAATATTACAAAACCTGATTTAGGAACCAAATTTAGAAAGATAAAAATAACGAGTGAAAAGTGATACATCTTAGTCATATCACCATTACATTCACACGTTTTGTCAATAGGACAAACTTGTTAACTGAAAATTATTTATGCTGTATGTGAATGAACAATTATAACGAGTTTGATAGAATTAATGGCGGTCACCATAACTTTTTCAATTTCTTAACAATTGATTTAGCAATGGAAACGTTCTAAAAAAAATTGTCTCTGTTTTTTTTGAAGTTTTTCACATCACCTTTGAAGATTTGAAACGCTTGAATATTATTTTAACGTTATCCCAACACATTACTTGAGGATTTCTAACATGAAGATGACTTTATAATGAGAAGTTTTGTTCACTTTACAACAAAATTTAAGCATGACAAACAATTGGAAGGTAACATAGAAAGCTTTAAAAAGTACTATTTTTGAAGAGTTCTTATCGCTGAGTCAATTATTAAGAAATGGAAAAAAATTGTATTTGTCGAATGAAATATACGAGTTTGTAGAATATCGAATGAAAAATCTTTGAACAAAAAAAAAAGAATAAAATGCGATCACCATTTATTCTACTACATCGTTTAGTTTCATTTGACATACTAAATTTCGATGAAAGATATTCACTCTGTTTATTAGCTTTTTCCCAACGGATGAAATCGCTTCCATAGAAAAAACTGTCATTGCGAGGAAAATATTTATGACGCAGTTTACTGATGCCCTTATATATTTTAACTGCGTCGTTTAACAAAAAAAAAATGTAGTTCTGCTTGAAATAAATTACGTTATTGCAGAGAAACAATTGACTTTACTGCCAACGGTGACAATATTTTATTTCGGAATATTAATTAATGCAGATTTCGTTTAGATTTAATCTGATTTTTCAGTTCGATTATAAAAATTTTAAGAATTGGAAAATTTTTTTCTTTTTTTTTTACGAACGCTTTCCGAAGTTTTATTTTAGGTATATAACCTTATTGTCGTGTACTTTTTTTTGCTGAGCATTGAAAATTCTTTTACTATCCTCTAATTACAAACTAAACTATTAAAAGAATTGTATTTCAATAAGAATCTTCTGCAATACACAATAAGTATTGTTAATGATTCAATAGTAGAATTTTTTATTCACACCTCCGTTGAATTATTTTCTAATTTCCAATGTACTCAAAAATTATATTAAATTACTTTCCTTTGTCTGTTTTTTTTGTTTTTTTTGTTAAGAATAATTTGTTAACAAAAGTATACATGTAAATATTTCTTATGTTAAACTAAGTAGAAATAAAACTGGGACTAATTTTATTAATTATATAAACAAAATCGATTAGAGAAAATAAGTGTATTATGACATTCAATAAAATGAATGTACTTTTTGGTTTTTAATTCGCAGGAAGATAAATGACATGTAGTGAATAATTGGACTTGAGGTCATCATTTAGAAAATTATTTAATATATGCGTATAGATATCAAAGTAATTATTAATAGATATTAAGTTAAATTAAATCTTCATCATCTTCAAGAGGTCACTTGACTAGTTTTTCATGTCATACAATAATGTCAGATGTTTTGGATTATTCTAATTTTTTAATTGCTACTCTTTTGTAGGTGTAAAATGTTCTTGTCACAAATTATGAATAACAGAGGAAAAAATAAAATAAAACTATGGATTCTTATTGAATCTTACAACAGCTGTGATATGACAAGTACACTTTTCCCGTCTATTGTCTTCCGGCTGTTTTCATAAATAGATTGGTTTGTATTGTTCATTATTAATAGTAACCCTGATGTTCTAATTGTTTTACATTAAAAAAAAGAAAGGTATTCAAGCGCTTCGAGGAAGAAATGATGAAGCCAACAACGAATAATTATATCAAACATTTTTTTATTGTCTAATAATTTCAATATGATATTAAATGAAATGTTCTCGAATTTTATGTATGAATAATAATAATAAACATTGATCTTCTTTTCTTTATTTTTGTAGGCATTTTTTTTTTTCATCAATTCAATTCATTCATATTTTAAAATATCTTTCGATAGAACAATCTAATTTTATTTTTTTTTTTGTTATAGAAATATTCATTATACATAAATTATAATTCATCAAAATACAAAATTTTTATTTTACACGTGTTCGTTTACTTTTATTTGTTGATTTTGTACGATTATAATGTCTTGATAATGATGATTTCATATCATAATCATCATCTGTTGATAATCGACCGGGTGATAATATTAAATTTGTTGTTGATGATATTGATGGACTTGATGTACCAATACCTAATATATTTTTCTTTTTTTTCTTATGTTCTCGTTCATTTGATTTATGCTGAGATTTTGATGATTTTGTACTTGCCATCGATGATTGATGACTTTGATAATGACTATTTTTAGCAAAACGAGCTGTTATTATATCATCGGTTAATAATTTTCCACCTAAAAAAAAAAACAACAACGTACACACGCTCAAAATTTGAATATTGTTTTCATTCGAAAAAAATTTCGATTTAATGTTTATTTGTTTTCTCTATTTCATAAACAGAAGAATACAGTTTATAATTTTATATAATTGATTATTTGCCTTAAAAAAAAAATTCTTTTTTGATATTCCAAAAAAAAAGTATTACAGTATCAAATAACAAAATATAGACTGACGACGGTAGGTCACCAACTGATCAATCGCTTTTGAGTCGAAACTATGTGCATCATGTAGGTCCTAATGAGTTATGAATACCCTGAAAAGAGTTTGGACTACTAGCCAGTGTTTTTTCTCCGGAGGGGCGATTTGAATTTTCGAGGGGGCGAAAAATTATTTTCGGAGGGGGGGGGGGGGGGTGCCGCTCCCCGGGCACCCCTCTGGATAAAACATTGATGCTAGCCTATTACTGTCGAGATACTGCATTTTTAAGCAAAATGTCTTGGTCCCCCTCAGGAACATCAGCAAAACTGAGTTTTGAATTTCGACTTGAAATTTGGTACAGAAACAGAACTCAATGAGAGTAGCTTATTGTGAAAGTTTCAGATCTTTTGGTTGTTCCTATTCTGAAATAAGAATTATTGGAACCCGTCAGGAGTAACGAGCAGTGTAAAAACACCCTTGTTAGCTGTATCTTAGGATAGGAACAACCAAAAGACCTGAAACTTTCACAATAAACTACTCCTACTGAGGCCTGTTTCTATGCAAAGTTTTAAGTCAAAATTCAGCTTTTCTAGTTCCTGAGGGGAAGCACAGCATTGTGCTTAATTAAAAATATCACAAAAATACAGTATCTCGACAATAATAAGCTAGCGGCCTGAACTCTCTTCAGGGTATTCATAGCTCATTAGGACCTACATGATGCACATAGTTCCGACTCAAAAGCGATTGATCAGTTGGTGACCTTCCCTCGTAAAACATATAAACAAAGTTCTTACAAATGCCTTCTAGTTCCTATGGAATAAAAAGTGCATGAGCAAGAACCTTAACATTTTTCTTTATAAAATGTTATAGACAAGCATATGGTTAGTCTTCTTCTATAAATCAAAATTATTCATTTTAGAATCACTTTTTTCTCATTCAACACAAACTCATAAGTGAATTGATTAGATTCAAAGTATTACAAAAAAAAAAAAAATTTCAGTTCTTATGGTTAAATACTTTGAACATATATCATATAGAATAGATAGATAAAATTTAAAAATCATTTCTTACCTTTCGTTCGTGTTGATGTACTCATATCATCATCTTGAAAATCATAAGGAGATGATTTTTTTATTCGACTTTTTTTCTTTTGTATATCATTAGTTGTCATTATAATAGGTTGACGTGCAATATCAATTTTTTTCTTTTGTTTTTTTGTTTTGGTATTTGTTTGTGTAAAAAAAGCATGTGTATCAAAAATAGCTGTCGAACTAAATAATGGTGGCGGAGGTGGTTGTGGTAGTGGTGGTGGTAATATTAATTTTTTTAATTTTGTTTTCTTTTTTTTATCTTCTGATTTCGGTGATGAACATTGATCAGGTTCAATATGCTTTTTTAAAACAAAAAATAAAAATACGAAAATTTCAAAAACAAATCTAACATACAAATGACATATGAGTAATATTTCCTAATGTTTTATTAATATGACGATGTGGTTTCACAATCGTATCATCAACAGTTAATTGAAATGGATCCGATGGTGTTAATCGACATCTAGAGAATAACAAAAAAAGAATGTTTTTATCGAAATTTTGTATTAAAATAAATTTACGATATTGGTGGTGGTGTTTGAAATGGAATGATTATTTCATCAATTGGAACTGGTGGTACTAAACAATAATAATAATAAGACAAATATATTTTTATTCGAATTACATACAAGGTGGTATAAATTCATATTCTTGTATATCATTAATAATCGGTTGTTTATCAAGAGAATAATTATGAATTATAGGTATAGAAATATTTACAGTTTGAGTTTGTTTTAATATATCATCTTTATCTCGTTGAATTTGTAATCGTCGATATGCATCATTAATACCTTTTTTCCATTGTTGTTCAATAGTTAATTTTAAACGTTTACGTCTTTTTTTATTATTTGTTAATTGTGTTTTTATTGAAAATTCATTATAACGAGTATGTAAATAAGCATTACCAATAAGAAGTTTTGGTGTAAGATGAATTAATTGTTTTTTTATATGATTATATTCTTTAAGTATATGTTTTTGTTTAGTTTGATATAAAGCTATACATGAATTTAATTTCTTAAAAAAAAAAAAAAGTAAATTATTCTAATAAATTATTTAAAGAAAAATAAAACAAACAGAATCTATTTGTGTAAAATCAATTGGTGTCATTTGTTTAAGTATTTCATTAATATCATATTCAACAAGATCTATTTGATGACGTAATTCTTTACAATGTTCATGTCGTTGAGCAAGACGTAATTCATTTGTAATACGGACTAAATTTGATAGAAAAAACAAAATTTTTTTAGATAAAAATTTTTCAAATTTAACTTACTACGATATTGATTAAATAGAGATGGCCTCCATGGCCACCATTTTTGTTCTATTGCCATCGTTACACAAACAATTATTAGAATTTGAACAAAAAAAGAGAACAATTGATGAAATAAAATATGCATACATACATCTTTGAACAAAGACCCGCGTTGATCAGCTGTTTTGATTTATTTGGTATTGGTTATTGATAATTATTAAATTCAAAAAATAAAATAAAAAATACTATGAAGAAAGTGAAATCATATAAAGATTTTGAAATTCTTCTATATAAAAATAGACAAATATGATTGTTGATAGAGGGCGTTCTATTACTAATGCGAAGCGATTCTTATTGTCATTCATGAATACTTTACCCTTCTTTAGGGCCCGCGCGAAGGATCAAATATTAGGGGGGTGTTTGGCAGATTGTGAGGGGGGAGGGTGTAGGAGAGTATTTTCAGAAAAATCATAAAATGTGGACAAAAAGTGCTCTTGTGGCCGGATAAAACTGAAAAATTTTATTTTGGGGATATGTACACCAGAGATGGACAAAGTCGCACCGCGCCTCCCCGCGCTTCCCCGCGCCATTGCTCACGCCTACGCTACACTAGTCTGAGCTTCGATGAGCGCATGCTTAGAGCATCCCGGTATTCGGTGGAGTTTGAGAAACTGATTGGTAGAGCAAAGAGAAAGAGAGATGTGCGTAGCGCCTAGGCGCGAGCAGCGGCGCGGGGAGGCGCGGTGCGATTTTGTCAATCTCTGATGTACACCCCCTAATCCCCCCGCTCACGCGGAACCTGCCCTTCTTCACGTGTATTCGTATAAGTAAATTTGTAAAAAGATTTCTGATCAATGAAAATATTTTTTTTTATTATATAGAAATAATTTTAAAAGTAATGTTCTTCCCAATAGTTGTATGTTGTTTAGTATATTATAAACCTGAGAGTTCTTTTTCCATAATTGGAAAAGAAGAATAAAAATGGACCCATCTGGAACTTGCTTGCTTCATCAAAAAATATAAATCAATCATGCACTGCTTATAGTATTCTACAAAAGTGCTTGTTCAGATGTTACGTTCAGTTTAATGTTTGATAGCATGTACTAAATGAATTTTACTAATGTCAGTTATCCATAATAGAAAAATTTCATGGAAAAATACAGAATGCAACGAAAATTTCGGAGAAGAAAATTACTCTGCTTCCTCTTCTTTCAATCATATGCACTAAGACTGCCTTGATCGAAAGAACATAATCATAAATGGTCGCCGTATACGATGAAAGTAATCGAACACTTAGCTTTTCCGTGTTTGAATTTGGTACTAAGCACAATGGTAAATGTTCATGTTAAAATTAATGATTTTTATTTCTTTGTTTTGGATTAATTTGAGCAATGCATCGAGCAGTAAGTCTTTCTTTTTTTTCAGACGAAAAAAAAATTTATGTATTTATGGAGGCAGGCAGAATTCAAGTAGCATTCCGTATTACTTCTTCATGCAGTACAATAATATAATTCAAATGATTATGCTATTTTTTTTATGACGAACACAAATATATTCTTAATGTGAAAATTTACGAATATACAAATCTTCCTACTCGTTATATTTCGATGCGTAATAATGAATAGAAATTGTTGCAATGGGTTTCAATAGATTGTTACATATAAAGGATATAAATTTAGTAATAAATGACATCAATTACGAACATTTGTTTGTCCTATGCAACATGACTGTATTCTAATTGATATACACAGCTGTAAACCAAGTTTTGGCTATAAATAATCGAAACGATCTTATGAAATTGTCTCGAAAATAATCAGTTTTGAAATTAAATGACTTGAATATTCACTTGAGTTACATTAACGTCGTGAACAACTTTATGAAATGTGAGATCGAGCTGAAGTTGGAGAAATTTATTACCTGGAGGCTGTGGATGATTATGGCGCTCCTAATGAACTGCATCCACATCTCACACCCCACACCCACCCATATCATTTGATTCAAAACTTCTGGATTCTTTTATCAAACTTTATCTAGTTCAGTTGTATATATGCACAAATTTTCATATCAAAGTTCGAAGAGAGGAGTTTTTCGAAAATTTGAAGTTCTACAGAAACCTCTAGAAAACGAACGAGTTGAGACTAGCAGATTGAACTTGTCTTTTTCTTTAAGAGATAGGTCGATTTATTTTTCAATTCTTTCTTGATGAAGTTTCCTAAAGTATCTTTCTCGAGACTGAGAAATAAATTATACGGTTCCAAGAAACCTATTAGAGGCTCGAGTTTCTCAACTTCGAAAGCCTTCGATCGCATTTTACATAAAATCATGTTTTCCCCCCAATAACTATTCTCTGACGAAAAAATCAAATCCATGAGTTTTCCTTTATCAGTCACTTGATAGCATAAAGATACTTAGGGTTATCCAAAAAGTAGTGAGCCAGGTACTTTTTTTCTTATAGAAAGCTTTCAAAAATTTTCTTTTTTTATGAACA